ACAACAACTCGTCAAAGAGACAAATGAAGCCGATCCTTCGACCAAACGTGTGCTAAACAATTGTGGTATCCTCTTCTGCCCTGGGTTATTCGAGTTTCCGATAACATCCTATCATGCCTTCCTTATTACAATTTTTACCGTGCTCTATCCCTTGCACGGATTTCACGGAGCAAGAGAAAACTAGGATATGACCATGAAAGAGGATTGGATAATGATAAGGCAGACTCTGATCAACATTCCCTGCACAAGGATGAAGTGGGGGGTGGGGGTGAAAACGACAGTTGGAGTGTAAAGGTTTCATGTTGCTCAAAGGAGCACACCACACTATATCTAAATAAACACGGTAAAAATTGTAATAGTGAAGGCATGATAGTATGATACCGGAAACGCGAATAACCCAGGGCAGAAGGGGAGATACCACAATTTTTTAGCACGCGTATGGTTAAAGGATCGGCTTCACTTGTTTCTTTAGCGAGTTGTATGGTGCTAAGAATGGCGATACTTACTGACGATGCCGGCGAAACGTTTTGGAATGTACCACGTCCATGGTTCAACTTTGGAAATGATCATGCATACAATGGACTCCGGACTATGTGCGTTACTCTAAATCTATGTTGCGAAAACAAGATCAAACAACTATTCTGTCTGAGCGTCCTATTAGAGCGAATAACTTCAACATCCACGAACGGTAACCTCTCACCTTCCTCTACTTCCATCGTGAATTGAATTTTTTCATCAATCTGGTTTACAAACTTCAGAAATTTTTTCAGTTTTTCTCTTCGATGTGATCAGTTCGAAGTAATCATCCAGGCATCGCATGAACACTGTCGGTTGTAGCTTACCATCTTGAAGCTCTTTTATATTTTGTTCATGAATACTTTTGCAAAATTGGTTAGAGCGGCGATCCCATGGGAAGTCCAAATATTTGTTCATAGAGGTTCCCGTTGAATGTAAAATAGGTTGTCCTTATTGTCAAGTTGATTATCCTTGTTAACGACTCCCTCTTAATCTGTTGTGATTCTTGGATATCCTCCTCTCGGTCCAGCATTTCCAACAGGGCCGTTAGTGCATTTTCTCTAGAGATATTTGTTTACATCGATTCCACATGAAAACTTACCAATAAGTCCGTTTCTTCCAGTGCCATGTTCTTGATTTTTTGAGAAAATTCATATTAATGTTTCATTGTGTTTGATAGCCTCTCATTTAATTTCTTGAGTTCTAAACTAATAAAGTTTGCTAATTTGTTTGTTGCTCCATACTTGTTGAATATCAGCCTTAGTGGGTGGCCTTCTTTGTGTATCTTCGTTAACCCTTATGCTGTTCTTGTTCATGCTACTATGGCAGATTACTTCGGACTAGGTGCATTCTACTAAGTCGCCCTGACCACAAGACCAAGTTGCGACAACGATGTCAACCCTCTCCTCTAAATCGAAAAAGGACTGCGAACATACCAGAGGCCACAACATCTTTGTCTTCAATTAACCAGACAAGTCTTGCTATAGGCGTATCACTAAATTTATTATAGAAGATTTCATTTTCATTCATTGAATGGCATTATTTGGCCTCTAGCACCAGAACTTCTTTTTTATTACCTCTGATGGTATCAGAATATTCTTAGTTCGAATACAGATTTTAAATTTCAGTCGTCTTTTTATTTATTTATCTGTACTGCAAGTACTGTTTAATCTATCTTCATGATTTATTATTTTTTCTGAACTTTAGTCATCAAAATGAGTAAACAATTTCTTTTGAACCTTTATCTTTTTACTCTTTCTTGGCTAATCTCTCATTTTATTTCATTTGTTCCTTCATATCCATCTTTGATCTTTTCTTCAGGTGCCGTCGTTGTACCAAGTGCAGTACTGGGTGTTCTAGTTGGCGCCCTCTTGATGCGTCGCTATCGCCCATCTATTCCGAACGCTCTAGCCGCTATGCTTCTAACCCTCCTATCTACTCTCGCCACCAGCATTGTTCTTGTCTCTCTTTCATGTGACAACGACAATCGCATCGCAGGTCTTACTGCCACCTATGCTGCTATGTCGTGAGTGGAATCTTTGCAACCCATTCTTTATAACAATTGTGTTCACTATCAAATAAATTCTGTATTTTTAAATTGATTTTCGGATTAAACAAGTGATCATTTATTTTTATTTTTTTCTACCTTTGAGCTTTCGTCATTTTTTTGTTTTTAATATAATCATTTTTCAATAGTATCAATAATTCTTAGCTAAGAACTGAGTCACCCTAAGTTGCTTGAAGTGATTTAAGGATTGATACCTTTCTTACACAATGAAAATGTACTTAGCCCTGCCACCAAAAAGGCGTGTTCATTCAGAATATCCTGCAGTTTTAGCCTCTCATCAGCCTCCCAGCGGGATTTGATTTGGGGTCGTGAGTATCGTGGTCATGCCATTGAGTTTTACTTAGCTCTGCCTTCCCAAGGATGGATTGCAGGTTTAATCTAGCCTAGGGCTCTTCTGCACGCCCAACGGGATTCATGAGTATCATGGTGACGCTAAACCTTTGATACAAAAGCATACATGTCAGTCGGTCCCAGGACAGCATTACAATTTGAGATAAGCCAGGCTTTCCCGAATGATATTATAGTGCGATTGTTGATAAAGATATCATCGAATCTGTTGAGGGTTATGGTTAAACCTAGATTGAGTACAGACTGTAGTCCATCATGGATGAAATAACCTTGTTCAGGGCAAGGCTAAGTGTAATTCATTGCCATCGTGAGACTTATTTATTTTATTTTGAACAAATTCAGCTATCAGTCCTCCAATGACTTTAGTGTCCTAAATCCTTATTCCAGAATTATTGATAATCTCGAATGCTATTCATAGCGAAAATAAGTAACGCTGTCGATTGTTATGGCGAATGCATGTTTAATTAATCAACCATTCTACTATTAATGTATTTTGGTAGTCCCGGTTTTTTAAAATACAAATCTGCCCCGTGATCAACCGGAACCCGTGGATGGATAACATCGCTATGATATTCTACCTGGTATCGAACCCCTTTTTTGCGTGCTGATTTGACCTAGGCGAGAATGAAACTGCATTCCATCCTTGATGGGCTAGCATTTTAGTTCACAATCTCTCTCTTTGTTCAAAATTGATTAGTAATCGTCAATTACTTACATTACAAATGAGTGCTTCTTGAAGAGATATTCGAGGGTCGATTTCTTTAGATGACAGCAACAGATTTTCCTTGGCTAGCTGTGGTTTGGCTTTATTAGAGTATTCTGGTTGATAGTGTCCTCAAGACATTTTTCGGCGGTCGCAGGGAAAATATGCTAATAATTTTAAAGAAACATATTCGTCCTTGGCGATGGATGGATAGTTGTATTTTCCCACAATGATATAAGTTTGTATCATGATGTCATTGCCTTTCAAAAGGTATTTCCATCGAGGATTTACTTTTTTCGGCTCCGCTTCTTTCTCAGCACACTTGAAATTAGTCGTCTAATTTTCACATGTTTCTACCAGTCCACATTGTTACCGGTGCCAGTTTGACATTCGTAAATTTCAAAGAAAGTTGGATTTTCGATGAAGTTTTGCTTTCATTTGCGATTGCAATCGACTCAATTATTCATAATCCTTATAATTATTTATCTTAAATACCTGTGGATTTTGAGCAAGATCTGCCTTCAAGCCTACTCAATACGTATCTAAGCAATATAGTCGATTGTATTAGCCCATATATGTTTACTTTATTGACTAATCTAATACACAAATGTGATATAGGAAAAGCCTGGTTTGTCTTGAAACTTATGTCTACCATTTGACCTACAGACAAACATGAAGATGTGGCTTGGTTGTGGCATGTTGAAATTATATGCTGCATTACCCCAGTTTGGGTCCCTTCGGGGATGCTGGTGTGACCCAGGAGAGATCAAAGAAGTAGACCATTCTGAATGAGAATGCCCCTGAAGGGCTAAGTGAAAGCCAATGACATCGTAATATCTAATCATATCATCATCATCTGAAAATTAAAATAACCCTTCATCACCATCTGCGATCTAGGGTAAATACAATTATGCAAGATCTACTGGTAGTTTCGAAGCTCATTCAATAGGTACCAAGTTTTTGTTTGCCATATGATGGATATCGCCAGAGCAAGATATCTTTCTTACAACTAACCCCAGCTAATGAGAGAGGAAGACACTTATATTCAGTTGTCTATCTATTCATGTATTTATATACTTTCTAGATCAATCATTTTTGTTATAATATGATTTGGTTTGTGCAGGCTGGTTTAAAAAAGTGAACAGAGGATATGCTCTGTTCTAATCCTAGCTGGACATACAGATGCACACATGCATTTGTATATGCATGGCGTGAACTAGCCAAATCATCTTACCACATAGAAGTACTTAGGTTTGGACTTTATAATCAACATGTAGGAGCCGGTGAATCTTCTTGATTCGTTAGCTTCTATAGTTTGTAAAGATGATGCCCTACTTTTATAATGTGAATCATTTAACAAACAATAGCTTAGCATCCTTTCCCAGGAACCGCAGTTACATCAGATACATCGTCAGCTAGCATATTCCAGACAAGCTAAACAGCACTTGGCCAAGAGGAACTTGCCCTTGTCGTCTGATGGTATCGGCCCTAAAATCACTTACTAAATCGAAATGTAAGTGACCTTAACATTTCTTTTATGATTACTTATTTTTCGGACTACTGGGTTGTAAGTGATAACATTTCATTTGAATTATATTGCCATTGCTTAAATTATTTAGTTTTATTGACTATTAGATGGCTTTCTTTGGCTGTCCTGATTTCTTATTATATTTTAATGCCCATTAGCAACATACTATGTGTAGACAGCTTAATCCTTGATACTAAAATTTCCAATTTTTTTAAATATTGCTGAATTTGTTTATTAGGCCCTTATTATTATCGTCACTAGTATAATTAAGCATATTTTGTTTATTATTTTTATCTTCATTTTCTTATACTTGTTTTTGCTCTTAATTAAGATTAAATTTTTCTGACAATGGAAGCTAGTTTAGCTAATAAATATTTTTGCCGAACTCTTATCGCTATTTGGACAATTTTTTAATTGTATCCTTGAAATGTTTTGATAAAGCCTCTATCAACTATAAGCATAACGATTCTCCCAAATGTCTTACTCCATCTTGAGCAACCATGTTTCCATTCATAGCCACTTATTCTCTTCTCTTCTTCTTGTACTCTTTGAATTTTGGTCTTCTCAACATCGCGCTCACATCGTCTTTCCTATACGCACTGGTCACAAATTAACAGTTGGCCAACCGCCCCAGGTCTACTATCGAAGCTGGCACCTCCAAATCTCACAGCTGGCTGCAATCTCCACTGTCTTTCTCCTCCTAGCCGTTCACTGATTTCTTCTCCATTTTCCTCTCCAAACTCTTCTACCGTCTATAATTTTCCGACTCTGAATCCAGACTCACTCAGATTTTCGGAACCTAGTCCCATTGATAGGGTGCCTGACGGGCTGTGCTCTACTGTTGAGTTCAACCCGGTTTGCTGGCAACCTACTCTTCCTGAAGATACAGCTCATGGAGAAGCCAAGGCACGATTATCTACTCATGGCCCTAAAGCTGGCCAACTTACCTTCTTTAATCCTTGTCTTGCGGGTTGCCGGCGTCGCGAAAGGGTTCGCGATTCGGTTTCTGGAGAAATGAGAGAGGTATGTTCTTATAGTTTTTCATTTGAATCACAGATTTGGAAAAATCTTTTTTTGAAGTAGCGTTCAGCTTTTCTTTCAGACATTGCCCTATTTTCTCATTTTCAAGTTTTTTTTTATTAGCTTTTTACGGACTGTTCCTGCGTTACGGATAATTTTTTGACTCCTCTTGGCGTCTGGAATATTCCCGTTAATGTCTCCGATCGAGTTACTTTAAATGATTCTTCGCTCAGCGTTCCTCTTTCTGCTGGCCGTGTGTTCGCTGGTCGTTGTCCTGTCCATTGTTCGAGTTATAGTTCTTTTCTAATCTTGCTTTTTCTACACATCTTCATCACTGGCATCAATCAGAACCCGAGTAACGTTATTACACTGAGGTTTGTGAATTCTATAGTTTTTGGTTGGCTCTACATTCTTTTTAATCACATAAAATATATTTTCATTCTGAAATATTAACCAGAATTCTATGTCGTGTTACCTACTTTAATGCAGCTATGATGCTAGAAGTTTTCTCCTTTATTAACCTCGTTTTTTAAGCAGATTAATCGAGTGAAATAAACAAGGCACAAAAGTGTCCTAAACCTTGTGCATTTCTAAGGAATTTTAAATAAATGGCATTTATTAGTTAAGCATAATATGATACGATACAATGTTAAATAAACATTCATTGGGAAAAAATATTTCTAGTATTATTTGTATTTATAAAATATCTCTTCTAGTAGTTCATCATGTTGAAAGTCACTCAAATGCATTCTATAGACATAGATTGATCTCATTGTCACAACTTGGCCTTGTTGTCCGGGGGGATAGTAGAACACAGCTTTTCAAATGTTCTCTGTCATAGTAGTTATCATAATTCCCAGCATCAGACAGTGGGCTTGGTACATTCTCAAACGTTTCGTCGGCATCGTAGTCGGCATCATCAGTGAGTATTGCCATTCTCTGCACCATGCTAGCGTAGATCCGTTCATTATCTTTCTGGTTAACCGATTTAACTCAGTTCCAGTCAGTGTGCGTTTTACTCCAGGCGCTATTTCTCAAGAGCTTAGAAGCACTTACAATGTCGCATCACCGAGCAGAGCGCCTAAGATCTGATACCCATGCTTGCAGATATCAAGCATTGCCTTCACAGGTCAGCTCCTTGATTAAACCCGTGTAACCAGAACAAACTTTGAACGACTATCTCTGGTCGCATGCTGAATCTAAAGTGGATTTCTAGTACATTTTGGTCATAATGTCGAATTTCCGTGACGGTTTGCTTATCCGTCCGCCTAGCTCCTTGACTGCCATGCCCCAAAAGTTGTATTGGTATGTTTCTTTGTATCATTGCCAAGGAATATCCTAGTCAGTTTGTCCAGCTCTTCATTCCAGAATTCTACATATGCTAAGCGTAAGCTTCGGAGGATCAGGCTCCTCATTATTCCCATCTTTAGCCTGTAATTGTGATGGGACCGGAAATTGAGTATTATCCCGGCATATGAATTCTTTCTGAACCATTTCCGTTTGAGCTTCCTTGAGAAATAACGCCTGGAGGAAAACGCACACTGTGACTGGGATCGAGTTAACTCGCTTAACCAGAAAGATAAGGAATGGATCTACGAGACCCTGGGTGAGATCCGGATAGGAGGCCCGAGTCAAATGAGCCGATCGAAAGAGAGGGGCCCTGTGTGAATAACATGTGTGATGAGACCACATTAGATTTGCCAAAAAGGGCACACATTTTGACGTGTGGAATGTAAATAAATCAGAAGATGTGATAGGGTGGGCGTTGTATAAGAGGGTAAAGAGTAGATAAATAGGCCAGGACAGAAAGAGGAGTGATAGTGTAATCGTTTTCGGCAGAACGTTGGTCGAGGGATTAACTCCACTTGTCTCTTTGACGAGTTCGTAACTTGGTGCGGAGAATGACAACATTCACTGATGATGCCCACTACGATGCCGGTGAAATGTCTATGAACGTACTAAGTACACGGTTTGATGCTGAAAGTTATTATAACTACTATGGCAGAGGACTTCGGACAAGGTGCGTTCTACTAAGTCCCTCTGACAGCAAGGCCAAGTTGCGACAAAAAGATCAGCCCTCTTCTATGGATTGAAAGGAACTGTCACCATAATAGAGTTACACCATTTTGATCTTGATATCTACTAAATGCATTTTATGTTTTTCTCTAAATAACCTCCCTTTTTCACTAAAGGGATAATTCGGCTACTAAAGCCTTTGTTTCCTTTTGTATAATTCCTTTTGAACACAATTGCTTCCATTCTCACAGTTATCGCAGGAATTTCAACCTTTATTATCTGAAGCATAGATTATAAACCCTGTCATTTTGAAAGTTTATAACTAATACATTTATGCTTTTTAGCACTTTATAGCAGTATACTTTTAATCATCGTAATACTTTTGTTATAATAATACTCTGATGATTTTACATTAAACTTCCAGATGTGTATCTTCAGAACAAGGCTCCATTGCCCTAGGCCTTCAGGTCTTCTTTACTCGAACTCTTGGTGCGTTCCTTTATTATATCATTTATTCTATTCTCGTCTAAACTAATATTTTGGATAAGTTTTTTAAGCGCTCTAGGCCGCAGAAAATATGAATCAGATAGTAGAATTTTACCACTAATTTGAGTTGGAAAACCTAAATGTATATATATCTAGATTTTCTTGGTAGTTTTGACCTCGCTTAGGTCTCAATTTCAATTGGAATCGAACCCAGGTTATGATTTATATAATTTACGAATGTTACCACTTCGACACATATTCAACAGTTCCCATGGGTCATATGGCAGACTTAATATAAACTATTATTTGCTATTCACTTTTTTGGGGCGTATAATTAAATTACTCCTTGATAGGAGTGAGATTTATATTCATTGAATTGGCATCAAATTAAAGTAGATAATTGAAACTATTCCGGGTGTTATCCTATCGAATTTACTAATTTGCGCTTACATTTTATCGTTTTCTTAGGGCTCTACTGGAAGTCATTATCTAGTGAAATTCAATATATCTACTGTTTTAACTCTCTTCCATTTCAACTGCGAGTGTGTATAGAACAGAGTCGAATTTCGACTTTATCAAAAAAACTAGTGTATTCTTCTTGGTCATCTGTCGTTTGAGTATACTGGAAAATTCTATGTGAGGCTGTCTCCCAGTCAACTC